AATTCACAAGCATCAAGTATTTTGGTTCTGCGTGGTGGTAATAAAATCCTTCCTGCAAAGAAATAGGATAATTGTATCAGAAATTGAGATGGGGCGAATATAATTTAATCATCAAGAAGAACGACAAACTTACCTTAACAGCAGGTTCAACAAGCGTTACAAGCTCAATAGGTAACTTGATCCAAACACCTCTTTTACCCTGCAAGCATGTCCACCTATTATCAAGGATGGAATTTGAATCAAAATTTAATGCATAGAAATTCAGAAGTCCAATCTAAAGGTAATCATCACCCTGCAAACTTACAACTGTTCTTTTTTTTCCAATAGTATCCATATAAGCATTTCAACACAATAAGTGTTTTCAAAAGACAGGTAAATTTAATAGACTCACACTTCCCCAGAGTTTAGCTATGGAGCCCTGAATTTGGTCATGTCAAGTGACAGTGTGACACAACATTTATTCAATCACCACTTCCTACTTCTAGCACATGAATGAGCTGGTGTTCAGCAGATTGTATACTAGACGTTACGCAACATTTTCCAAAGGATGAAGTCGCAACATGCACAATAGACAAGATAACAAAATCAACATTGAAATCAGCTCAGCGTGACATTCAATTAATAGCCACATGGTAACACACACAGTCTTCTTCTTTTCCTTCTACTTCTTACTCCATACGAACAGGACGTATTGCTAACAACCCAGCACGTAATGTACCCCCTGGGTACCTCTTAAACCTCTAAATTTGTGATAACTAAGGTGTGCCGGAGCAACTAAAAAAACAAATAAACGTGTATGAAAGGAAGTTTTTTTTTTTCTTTTTTGGCAGTCTCAGAGGACAAACTTAGCAGGATAAAAAGGAAAAAATAAATCATCTACAGTATTATATGTTATGATAAAAGAACCTTTTTCCAACTTTATTGTTACTTTAGGGTGAGGAGACACCATTCAAAACCCTGGACCTTACAATGAAGTAGGACAGACAACAAAAGAATTTTTCTTTTTTCAAAAGAGTGGTATTTGGACCATCTTGCGCACCTTAACTATTCCACAGGATAACTGCAACCTCCCACCGACACAGGCTCCGAATAACTCTGCCCACCAAGATTTACGGAAGAAATAGTATTTTTTGCCTCAGGATTTGAACCGAAAAAAAGAATCTTTTCTCAACTTATTCACGACTAAAGGGAATCCTACAACATTAACTTTATGATCAAGAACTTGAGTGAAATTTGAAAATAGAATCTGAATAGTAACACCAAAAACAAATATCCTTGCTCAGGTTCAAATCCCAGAGGAGTCAAAAGATTTCTTCCTACCCAAGCCTCGAAGTGCGTATGAGGTGGCCCGAACACCACCGATCATAAAAATAAATAACCAAAAACAAAATATACATATTAGAAATACCTGTTGTCTCCAATGAGAAAGTGAGGCTCTAAGCAAAGAACCAAAGACAGAAGGGTCCAAGGGCTCATTAGTCATTTCCACTGTCACCCCACCATGGTCATCCTCTTTTGCATCTAATATTCTGTCCACTTGTTCCATTTCCTTCTCCCTTGCCATTGCTGGAGTTACAGAGCAACTCACAGAGGACCTTGTGTGTAGGTAAATACTACACCTAATCTTGGTCAATTTGCCTAAAAATAAATTGGTTAGGCTCGTTCAAAACTTAAAAAAACACAAAAGGGTCAATTAAAGAAATAAAAATAGAACCTAATCTTGGACAATTTGCCTAAAATATTCACAATAAATGGTTACACTTGCAAAAAGCTAACAATTTTTGTCTGATACCCACTGTACTCAACAGTTTGCGCACATCCTTGCTAATTTCACCTCCCACCCGCACAAATACCGAATAATAATTTAAAAAAAAACTGATAAAATAGAGCCTAATCTTGGACAATTTGGCTAAAATATTCACAATAATTGGTTACACTTATATAAAGCTGACAATTTTTATTTTTGATGACCGGTGTCGAGGACAGACCTCGACTAATTTTACTGCACGCCTGTTACCTCCTACCACGTCAAGTACCAGGTAGTAATTTAGAAAAAATGATAAAATAGAGCCTAATCTTGGACAATTTAGCTAAAATAATGACAATAATTGGTTGAATTTACACAAGATAAAAAATTTCAGAAATGGTATATTCATCAATATAGAAAAATAGAACAAGGGTAACCTTGATTTTTGCAGAAACTGATGACTTTTGTCGGATAATTAGAGAAGAAGTGACGTTTTGAGCTAAAAAATGAAGTTCTTGAGGAGGTGACATAGGAAAGAAAAGGGGTGCGACACAAAAATTTGATTATCATTTAAACAGATTATATGGGGAAATATATTTAAAAGAATAATTGAAGAATGAGGATTTGCAATTCCGGAAAATTAGTAACGTGGAGACAGAAGGAGAGAGCCTGTGATTGTCTTTGAACTTGATTGAAGGAAGGAGTCAAAAAAAGGAATTTATAAAAATAATCGTGGAATAGTAGTGTACCAAACTCTTAAGTCTTCACACGTCAAGTGTTCAAATGAACCACACTTTTTTTCTATTTATAAATTATTATCTGCCGTATTTTTTAAAAATAAATTGTTTCAAATTATTTATTGTTTAAGAAATTCAAGATAAAAATAATTATTTTTCCCTATTTTACCCTTAATAGTAGTAATTGTCTTTGAAGACTACTCCTCAATTATGCAGTAAATATTTAATGAAGAGATTTCATCCTAAGATGTAAATAAGGGTAAAATAGTCAAAAACTCCTCTTAATTAATATTTTCTTAAGCAGGTAAAAGAAAAAGAAAATTTACGGAGTCAGTAATTAACTTCGTAATTTCACCCATTTTCCTAGCTATTGGTATTTGGAAGGCTATTTTTTATTTAATTACATTATGTTATAAATATATTATATTATGGATGTTCATTTAGTACTCCATTGTAAATAAGCTTCATGAAGAAGTTTATCCATATGGGACACCGCCGTAAATATGTTTATCTATTTAGTACTCTATTGGAAATAAGCTTCCTGAAGAAGCTTATCACTTCGGTACCTGGTTATGGATAAATATTAACACAGGTAGAAGATTATTCATACCGGGTATAATAAGCTTTTCTTTTCGATACTCTATTATGGATAAATATTATCCCCGGTAGAAGATTATACATACCGGGTACAATGAGCTTATCCTTTCTGTACTCCGTTATGGATAATCATTACCCCTAGTAGAAGATTATCTATACTGGGTACAATGAGCTTATCCATTCAGTACTCCGTTATGAATAAACATTGCTCTCAGTAGAAGATTATTCATATCTGGTATAATAGCAGCTTGCAGTAGCAGCTTACACAGCAGCTTCCTTTCTTCTATAAATAGAATAGATTTCAGCTCATTATGAACATCAGTTTGAATTCAAATAATATATCAGTTTCTCTCTATACTTGTCTTTACTTTACAGTCTTTATTTTATAATACGTTATCAGCCCGAGACTTTGCCATCTCGAGCAAATATTTTGAAAGTATCTGAGGTAAGAACTTTCTTTTCCTAAATAATGTCAAATCTTTCTAAACTTGAATTTGTAGCCCTGGATATATCGGGCAAAAGCTACATGTCTTGGGTGCTTGATGCTGAAATTCATCTTGATGCGATGGGTCTGGCAGACACCATCAAAGACAAAAATCAGGCATCAAACCAAGACCGTGCCAAAGCAATGATATTCCTACGCCATCACCTTGATGAGGGCCTGAAAATGGAATATCTTACTGTTAAAGATCCAGTCATACTGTGGAATAATTTGAAAGATAGATATGACCACCTGAAGATGGTCGTTCTTCCACAGGCACGATATGATTGGACTCATCTAAGGCTACAAGATTTTAAATCTATCAGTGAGTATAATTCTGCTATGTTCAGAATTATTTCTTAATTGAAATTATATGGTGATAATATTACTGATCATGATATGTTGGAGAAAACTTTCACCATTTTTTATGCCTAATATGCTCCTGCAGCAGCAATATCGAGAGATAGGATTTAAAAAGTATTCTGAACTTATCTCACATTTTCTTATAGCCGAGCAACATAATGGGCTATTAATGAAAAACCATGAAAGCCTACCTACTGGTTCTTGTCCATTCCCTGAAATGAATGAGACGAACTTCCACTAAGCTAAACGTGGAAGAGGTCGTGCCCCAGTCTCGGTCATGGCCGTGGTCGGGGAAGAAACCCCAATCATGATAATAATAATGCACCAAAGAAGCCTCCTCACCACCAGCAGTGGAAAAGAAAGGAACAAAAGCATAAAGCGGTACAAGCACCAAATGCAGAAAATGCATGTTATAGATGTGGAGGAAAAGGGCACTCACGTACCTGTCGTACGCCAAATCACCTGGTTGAGCTTTATCAAGTCTCCCTGAAGAAGACAGAGAAAAATGCTGAAGCAAATTTTGTTTCTGAAGATAATTTAGACTTCATACATTTGGATGTAGCTAATTACTTTGCACTCCCAGAAGGAGAAACAAGTCATGTAATCGGTAGTGAATCTGTAGAAATGTAAATATTTTAATTTTTGTTGTTTGTAATAGATAGTATGGTTATGTAATTGTTGTACATAAATAAAAGTTATGCTTTGATAATGATGTTTACTATAATATATTTTATTTATGTCATTTTGAAGAATATGGATAATCCTCAAATTATGTTTGGATCAAAGACAAATCATGAAGATATTTGTGTTATTGATAGTGGAACAACTCATGTCATATTCAAGGATCAGAAATACTTTTCTTATTTGCATAAGGAAAAAGCAAATGTTTCAACAATTTCTGGTAATATAAATTTGATTGAAGACTCCGGAAGAGCCATTATATTTCTGTCTAAAGGAACAAAACTTATTATAGACAATGCATTGTTCTCCTCCAAGTCTCGAAGAAACTTGTTGAGTTTTATAGATATCCGCCGAAATAAGTATCATGTTGAGACAATAGATGAAATGAACAGGGAATATCTTTGTATTACAAAGAATGTTTCTGGCCGTAGAAAAGTTATCAACTTTATCTTCTGCTTATACTATTCAAAAATTAGTACAGTTGAAGCACACTCTATCATAAACCAGAAGTTTACGAATTCAAATACTTTTGTGTTTTGGCATGGCCGTTTGGGCCATCCTGGATCAACAATGATAAGACAAATTACTGAAAATTCGAGTGGACATCCATTGAAGAACCTGAAGATTCTTACAAATGATGAATTTTCTTGTGATGCTTGTTATCAAGGCAAAATGATCATTAGACTATCACCAATGAAGGTTGGCATTGAATCCCCTACCTTTTTAGAGCGTATACATGGGGATATATGTGGACCTATTCATCCACCAAGTGGGTTGTTTAGATATTTTATGGTCCTAATATATGCATCTTCAAGATGGTCTCATGTGTGTCTACTATCATCTCGTAACCTGGCGTTTGCAACGCTATTAGCCCAAATAATTCGATTAAGGGCACAATTCCCAAATTATCCTATAAAGGCTATTCACCTTGATAATGCTGGAGAATTCTTATCTCAAGCTTTTGATGATTATTGTCTATCAGTTGGGAT